AAAAAAATTATAAAATATTTTTATTTTTAAAAAAAATAGATTAGACATGAATTTATAAAATTTAAGCAGGCAAATTTGTCTGCTTATCTGGACGGTTTAAGGGATAGCTAAAATTATTAAAACAGAAGATAGGTATTATGCTAGAGTTTTTTTCCTTTTTTTTTTTATACCTCTAATGATACCTCATCCAACCTATTTTTTCTCGTGATTTTTACTCTAGGTTGTATCTTACCCAAGATCGCCAATAAAAATTTACACTTATGTGATATGCGATAAAATTCTTTAAAAGTTGATTAGAGTTTGTATGAGGATTAGAATTTAGTAATTAATATAGTAGAAAATTTTTTTGTTAGAGTGTAGAAGGTGGCTTCTTATACTAATTTTTAAAAAACAAGCAATTTTCTCTAACTCTTTCAAAAACGAACATTTGAATTTTCCTGATCATATTACTTTACACCAAAGTATGATCACCTATTGGATAATTTCTGCAGATCTTCATAGTTTCTATGTAGGTTATTAACTAATCATCTAATGATCACATGATCACGCGTCAATTATATAATACTGCTATATGAAATTTGCCAATTTATGCAATACAGTAATTTTATAATGGCTATTTCTTTTTTGAATTGTATAGAATTTTTAAAAGTAACTTGGCTAGTTACAAGAATTTTATACTTGCATAAATATTATTTAATACTAAATGATATTTATTGTAAGATTTAATACTTATAATAATAATTTCTAAGTCAATTTATATCTATATACCATGTAGCCCTATTGCTTTCTAATTTGTCTAAAAAAAAAAAAAAAAAAAAACAATTCTAAAATATATAATACTAATGCTAAGATATAAGATACTAAACAAAAATCATTCTTTCAGTATTTTTTTTTAGCTAGTTAAGCGCAACAATACCTTGTTCTATCCAATTTTTTAGACAGAGTAATACATGCACAGTCTGAGAGTCAAGACAGTTATGAATCTTGGTGAGTGTTCCTGCTGCAGTAGAGAAAGCTTCTTCGCAAGGTACGCTTGTACTTTGAATTGCCAGATAGTCACGCACCATTTTTACAAGTGTTGAATACTTATGTTCATTTTTAGCCCATCATAAAAGAGCATTATTTTGAATAGTTATTGGCGTAGACAAGTAATCTTCTAATTCTTCTATTAAAGGTTGTTCGATTGTTTGTTATTAAATTAATAATGACTCAAAAAATTTTCTTTTATTTTTAGATACTGATTTAAGGGTAGGTGTAGTGGTAGTTGCTATAGGGGTTTGTGAATTATATTAAGACATTACATTTCGTAGACTAGTTAAAGTGTCTTTTTGATCACCAAAGAGAAAAGTCATAAGCTTAGATGATGGGTTGAGAATCGAGGCGATAGTAGTTGATTTTTTAAAGATGAACTAATATTTATTTAGCTTAGATCTAATAGCATCTGCTATTGTATACTGTTCTGTTAAGTATAGTTCACCATCTATAAACTTATTAAGATGATGGAGAAGCCCCAAAAAGTTAAACAGATATCAGAAATAGTTAGATAAAAGCTTGATGATAATAATTCTGTTGCGATGAGCATAGGTTCTAATAACTCAACCATGATATCTATAACTTCCCATTCCTTATCATTAGGATAAACACTTTCGAGTTGTTTTTTATACTCAGTTACAAGTAAACTTAATTCATTACGCATTCTTTTAAATCTATGAAGCATGCTATAGATACTGTTCTAACACATGCTTAAAATAATGTGATCAAAATAACAAAAGTGAAAGTAAATAGTAAGTATTATAATCCAAATTAAATGCTTCGAATACTATTAAATTATTTTTTATACTTACCTTACATCAACCGTTAGTTTAATATAATTTTTTTTGTTGATCTCACAAAATTGACAGAGTGCGTTATATAAAACAGTTGAATACCTAACTTTATTAACAAAATTTCGAACCTTTTTGATTACTAAAATTTTAAGTTGTATTCTATGATTCACAGCTAAATTAAGAGTATGTGCTGAACAGCGATGGTGACGAAACTTTTGTATATTCCAATCTTGCTTTATTAGGCTTCTACATAGTACCATCACAGAGTGGTTATTAGTAGTAAGTGCGATTACCTTATCACTAATATTCATAACATCACAAAGTTCATAGAGCTTTTCTTTCGTATGTACTGCAGTGTGATTATACTCAAAATGGATAAGGTCTAGTAATAACCGACGCATTTGCTATTTATTATCAATGTAATAAATCGTGACACCAAGATAGGTCTGGTTGGAAATTGAAGTCCAGATATCTGCAGTAAGAGTGACTTTGCTGGTAAGACTCCTGAGTTCTTTTGCGACAAGATCATATCGAGCTTTAAAGTAATACATTATCTCTTTTTTTATAAATTGACGTGATGAAGGTTTGTATCTTAAGTCCAATATGTTTACAATTTTTGAAACCAAAGATTTTTAACAACTGCAAATAGGAACTGGCAACAAACTATAAGATTTAAAACAGAATTTAAATACTCTTTTTTACGTCAAACATCTCCTTTACCATACAGTTTTTGAACTAAGTTATTTTTTTTAAACTAAGTTCTATATCATGCTTATTACTAAGATGGTTATTTAAAATACTAGTAGTTGTTGTAGAGCTAAATTTCTGTTCACATTTTTCACAAATTCTCGTAATAACTTTATCTCCTTTTTCCTCACTCATAAAATTTCATACTGGTGACATTTTATTATGCTTATTATGATTTATACTAAAACTATCTGATAATTCTTTTTGTTATGATAACATGATGGTAGCAATTGCCTCACCTTCTATATCATTAAGCGAATCAGATTTCTCCTCAGAAGTAGCATTGCAAAGGTCAAATTCATCAGAAGTAGTGTAGTAATCAAGCATATTAAAGATAAAGCAAGTATGTTATAATTTTGTTTGGAATTTTTGTTTTTTAATAACTGAATCATTTCTTTTTATAATCCTTAGACGATTAAGATACAACATTATGCTGTATTATAAAGATGCAGTAACAATTTACATGACATGGTGTTTGTAAGTAGTATTTTGTTTTATGTAATGCAGTATTTGTACAGATGTTATTCGCTCATTTTACTAGTTACGAGCCAATAACTTCACTAATTAAGATAATTTTTATCGGTTCACTCTTTTAATTAATAATTATACAATGCGATTAAGGGTGATATCATTACTTTATTACTATTAATTTATTAATTCAATAAATATTGGTTTATTAATTCATTACGCAATTGTTAAATAATAATCAAATTAAATGGAGACGTTATCAGCTTGACCTAGCTTGCATATTCAACTATTGCAAAAACTGATTGATGAATAGAGCTAAATAAGCTAGTAAAATCTCTAGTCAGTTGGATAACAATTAATTAATAAGCATTAGGCAAATATTTAACTATTGCCTATATTAATTAACACGTTAAGTGCATATAATCTTGAATAGTGTTTTGCTTATTGTCAACTGCAATTAAAAAATTACTGCGTTTGTATATTTGCAAGCAAGATGCAGGGCATAAATTAATATTAATATACTGTATGGGCTGTGATATATATTACATAATATTATTTTATTAAGGAGGCTACCCCCTCCTCCCCACGTCATATATGATCATATATAAAATATATATATATAATTATATATATATAATATCATCTTTGGGTACCCCTCCCCTAGGATATTACGTAATATCTGTCACTGCTCTATGTTTATTAATTAAATAATTAATCTTTAACAAGCTTAATTAGTACGTTAATGATATTATTCAGAATAACCTTATTATGAACCTGAAATAAATTACCATATTTGTACAACAATCAGCACACCTCTAGCATGCAAGACGAAAATTAATATATCTCTATATTAATATCTATTATAAACAATTGACTTATAACAATTTATTTTATTTTTAGATAATTACGGTTAAAAAGCACTATATAGTGTTCATTATTAAAATCAATAGAAGTTAATAACTGTACAGAAGAGAAGTAAATCGAGTTAACATCATAAATATCAAATAAGCTAGGATACATTTTTTATATATTTTAAAATTTATTTAATTCTTTGTATAAACAATTAGACATAAGCATAATTTGAATTTTTTACCGAATTAGCCAAGATGATTTTTTGAAGGTCATGTTATATGATATATATTACACTATAAACTGAAGCTTTTAGCCAAATGAAATTTTAAAAATTGCTAAATCAATTTTAGTCAGAGTTATATTCTAATTTTAATAGATAGGTAAGTTTGTAATTTTGTGATTTCAATACTTAATAGTTGTAACTTGGACATAGGTAGATTCAAATTTCAATAGCAAGTGAGTTCATAATTTTAAAAGTAGAATCTATGATTTTAGATAGGTTTAGTAGCTAGGTTAGTGATCATAACAATATATAATTTGATAATTTTAATATTAAGTTACTTCACTATTTCAACAATTGATGAGTTTATAATTTTAGTGATTGTAATTTTAATAGTAAGCAACACAGGTTTTTTTTGTAGTTTATCAGCTGCCCTTGCGTCGAAAGTGTGTTAGGAGTACATCAAGCATAACTCCATGAGGAGAGTATCTTTTTGCAAAGTAAATTTCTAATTATGTTATATAATTTGAAATTTTACTTTGCAAAAAGATACTCTCTTTATAGAGTTATGCTTGATGTACTCCTGACACACTTTTGATGCAAGAGCAGCTAGTAAATCTACGAAAAAAACTTGTAATATAATAAGTAGGTTCATAATCTCAACAATAGATAATTTTAATAATAAGCGTATAATTTAAACAGTATGGTTTATGACTTCAACAGTAGGTGAGTTTGTGATTTTAAAGAGATGAGTCTATGATTTTAATAATGGTAATTTGCGATTTTGATGGTGGGAGAGTTTATGAATATTAATAGTAGCTTAGTTTATACTTTAATAGTAATTTCAGCTGTAGAAAGTTGGATTCATGATTTCAATAGTTTTGATTTCAATAGGTTTATATAAGTTTATGATTTATTAGCGAATGGGTTTGCAATTTTAATAGCGATGAGTTCATGATTCCAACAGTAGATAGTTCATGATTTCAACTGGATATTATACCTGCCAAGGAAGCTTCTAGAGTATTATTAAACTACCCTGTTATCCGAGTAATTTATTATAATATCTAATAAAAATCTCTATCTGGGTGCAATCTCTAATTTCAATTATAAATAGTTTATGATTTTAACTGTAAATGGGTTTATAATTTTTAACAATAGTTAGGTTCACAATTTAGCAAAGTAAGCTAATGATTTTAATTGTATATGGGTTAGGAATTCAATAGTGGATAGATTTGGGATTTTAATAGTAGATAGGTTAATAATTTTAACATGATTTAAAGATGGAGAGGTTATAAGCGGGTTTGTGGATTTTAATAATGAGTAGATTATGGTTTAATTGTAATTTTAATAGTAGACTTGTTTATAATAGAATTTGTCTTTAAAAATTTGATTATATAGTTGGAGTGTTAGATACTAAATGTTTTATAATCATAGGACAGCACTATATGATTGGCCTACTATTTAAGATTTTTAAAATTTTGTTGATCAATTTATTAAAAGAATTTTAAAAGAATTTATCATAGTGATTTTATAATAAAAACGGTATATTTTTAAAATGTTTTAACTCTCATTCTAGTAGAACAAATTTAATTATGCAACTTGTAAATGTATATAAATAATGTACTTTTAAAACTATGTTGAGATATTTTTTATTTCATTTATTAATTTTGCTAAAATTACGAACTAACAAATTTTAACAATTATTTAAACTATTAAATTATAGAGGATTACTAAAATTTACATATTAATATTAAATATTGCAATATAGTTTTAAAAGCAAGCTATTTATATGCTATTTACATATTACAGAATTAAATTTGCTTTGCTAGAGTGGGAGTTAGAACATTTTAAAGATATTATTAAACCATTTTTATTAAAGAGACCTACTAAAATTCATATATTAATATTAATCATGGCATTATAGTTTTAAAACAATGCTATTTTTATATAATTTTGCAAGTTACAGAATCAAATTTACTTTACTAACAAGAAAGTTATAAGATTTTAAAAATACGTAGTTTTTACTACTATCAATTTTTTTTAACAAATTGATTGACAAAATTTTAAAAATCTTATACAGTAGACCAATCATATAATGCTATACTATGATAGTAAATTATTTGGTATCTAACACCCCAATATGTGGTTTGGGTCAAAATCCCAACAAACAAAATTCTAACAGGTTATAATCCTATATTTTGAGATTTTTAATTGTTAGGATGTTTGATTGTCAGAATTTTTTGTTGGGATTATGATCTGTCAGGATTTCACTTGTTAAGATTTTGGCCTAAACCCAAATAGACAATAGGATGCTATACCAAATACTTTAACATCAATTGGGTGATACTATTAGGGATATCTTAGCAAGAATGATGAGGTAAAAGCAAATAATAATCAAGTAATATTGTAATAACTCTAAGTATACATAATGGATTAACAGGTCAATTAATCAATCATAAGTATTATTCTCTGCTACAATTCTCACAAGTCACTACTGTGAATAGCAATATCTGATTTCACAAATTTATAAATATTTATAATTTTTTTATATAATACAGCAATATATAAATAGACATGTAAGACTACAGATAAAAAATATTCAAACTATTTTTTATTGTTTTTTATTATAAATATACCAAATCATATAATTTTTGTTATTAAAATATAGAAATATAAATTTTTTACTTTATTTTAAACAATTATATATATTATAATAAATTATAAGTATTATTTTTATTGGCTAGTTTAAAAACTATAGCTTAAACTATAGTTTAAGATATGGTTATAAAGCCATAATTTGAGCTTTAAGCCATGGTTTTTTGAGCCAAGCTAAACCAAGCTAGCTATTAACATCCCTAGTAGATCTTTAAAATATATTTTACTTAGAAAGTATATTGTTAAAAAAAATAATTTATTTGACACCTAAGTAAGTTACTTATCCTCCTTAAGTACCAAAAGAAACCAGTCATATTAATATATTAGGGTTAAAATTAGGGTTAGAGTTAGGGTTAGCCTAAAATAAAATTGCAAGAGGAACATTTTTACTTATATTATATGACAGGGTTACTTTAGTAAAATTTTGAGATATTCGTATTTTTTCAAATTTTGTTATAGGGGTAAGCAATATCAAATCTCACCCTGGGTGAGTAATAAATATACTCTTGTTAAAATTAATATTTAAAATTTTATTAAAAAATTAGAGTTTAAAAAAATAAATGCAGACAAATTTGTCTGTATTACAATTTAAGAGATAACAAAAAAAGAATATTTATCTATTATCTCGAATTGATAAGATACTAAATATCCTTGTTAAATCTTATTAGTTCTTTATATTAAATCTCACTAATAGATATTAGTAAGTAGCTATGCACTTCAGAAATTAAGAAAAGACTATATTTGTACTCACTATAGAATATATAAGTTCAATATTATACTCTTTAAACTTTGTAATACCTCTGCAACCTTTTAATACTTAATAGACAGAGTCTATAAGAGATATGATAAAAATCAGGTGATTTTTTAGGATAGAAGAAGGGTAAAAAATTTAAAATTATATATAAAAACCTGATCAAGATATATAGTAAGAGGAGGGGAGGGGAGATAAGCTTCTGATAAAAAAAAATCAGTTGAAAATGATATTGATCTAATAAAATAGCATAGCGATTTGTAGTAGTATATCTAGATAATACTATTGTATTCTCTAAGATTTTTGATGAATATTTGATCTATTTATGAGAAGTTTTTACTAGGATCAGACAAGCTAGATTTCAATTAAATATTGAGAAAT